CTTTGGCCTACCTAGCAAGCGAGTTCGGCGCCATCATGGTCTTTGGTGCGTTTTTAGGTCATGACAAGTTAGCATTAGAACTCTAGGTTCTAAGGGTCTCAGAAGTCATAAGCAGACCTAGTAAAGTCTTGTGGATTGATACAGAGACATCGGTATCTATTTGCGAGAGGATATAGGGCTTTAGAAACTTTTCCTTTCTTAATTCCTTATAGTACGTTAATTATTGCCTAAATCTAAATCATTCTCTTCTACTCTCTCACGGATAGTGAGAACACGCGCTTCAGCAGAAACAATAGGTATTGGAGAGGTAATACCACCAGTTGGAGCTAGGAGAGGTAGGACCTAGGGCAAGGCCAAGGCTCCCACTAGGGGTCGCGCAGTGGCAGCTAAGGGATGAAGCATCAATCGGAGCCCGTGGCCACACTAGAGGAGTGTCAATGCAACCGCCGGCGTATCGGGTAGAGGATTAGGTCTTTGATGATCATGACGAGACTCCATTACCCACTCAACATCTAGAGGGTTTTATTACTGCACAAGCATTTCAGGAGTCTATGGACAAGATGGTCAGTTTTATTAATGCATTGACTTAGGATGAAATGGTTCTAGTGGCCCCAACCACATTTCAAGGTGGAGGGGATCTCGGACCCCTGTCGTACATACTTCGGAGCAGGCAGCAACATTGCTGTAGATGCTGGGAGTATTGCCAGTTGGTGATGGCCAATTCATTGTAGTAGCTAGACCCATGGTTATGCCTACCATGTCTGTTGAGAAGTAGAAAATAATGGATAGGTTTCAGAGGCTGCATCCTGCTCACTTCGATGGTGACCCTTCAAAAGATGCACATGATTTTCTAGATAGATTTCATTATATGTTTCTTAATTTGAATTTTATAGAGTCCAATAGAGTGGACTTCTTGCATTTAGTTGAGAGGGGCTACAAGGAGATGGTGGCAGACCTATGCGTTGGGCAGGATAATAGGTTCATCTTCTCTTTTATAGACCCATTTCTCGCACGTGTTTGTTGAGAGGTATATCCAACTCTCTAGGAGGGATGAGTTGAGAGGTCGGTTCGGGTATCTTTAGTGAAATCGCATGTCTATAACCAGGGATGAGTTTGTACTAGTAGTTCCTTGATGATCTATACGCTTTATTCCCTTTTGTGCTAAGATTGCAGAATTTGGTTGTGCTGAGTTGTTCATGTTAATGAGTTGACGTTGGGAACGAGTTGCGCGTCGCAATTGTATTGAAATGAATTGATAATGGTAACGGGTTGCACGCCGCAACAAATACTGATATGATATTGGGATCGGGTTACACCCCGCAATAGATATTGAATTGATATTGGGATCGAGTTGAGTGCCGCAACGGAGTATGATATGTTGTAGCTATTTGTAGTAGTAGTAGTACTCTATTTCGGTACTGTGATATGAGATGATGTTATTCTGGGGCCCTCTGTAGTTGACCTTCGGGTCCCGCTCTTATGAGTCAACTTGCTTTCTCTATATTTCTCGTGTCTTTTATTATTCATACAGATTTATTGTAAGTGCCTTGTCATAGCCTCACCACTACTTCGTCGAGGTTAGGCTCGACACTTACAGAATACATGAGATTGGTTGTACTCATACTACACTTCTGCACTTCTTGTGCAAATCCAGGTGTTGGTACTAGCGGCACTTAAGGGGGATTGATCGGATCCGATTTCTTGAGAAGACTTGAGGTAGAGCTGCACGACGCTCGCGGTCCTTGAAGTCCCCTTCTATCTTGTTTTATTGTTTATCTAGTTTCAAACATTTGTATTTCATTTCAGGTCATGTTTGTAGTATTTTAGATGCTCATGTACTTGTGACTCCGGATTTCTGGGATTATTATAGACTGCGTTACTTATCTATTTATTTCATGTATTTCAGAGTTTACTAGCCGTTAATTATTACTTTTCTGCTTTTAAATTGTAAAAATCGGTTAATTTTAGCTAATGTTGGTTTGCCTAACAAGTGAAACAACTCCGTGATTGGGATTTCGGGTCGTGACAATAATATAATAATGTTGAGAATGACAAAATGATAATCTTTTCCTAGTTGCTAAGTTTACTAATGGAATTAGACATTAAATAATCTATCTATAAACGATTAAAATAAAATGGAGGAACTCAAATATTCGATACAGCTAACACTAGCTAGAATAACAGTTGTTTAAGATTGTGGTTATAAACTCTACCCCAAATTCATTTAAAGAACTTCTTTATTTTATTTAAATGAATTGTGCAATTAAAACATGAGATAACACCATATTAGAGGCAAAGCACCTGATGAGAACAAAAAGGAAAAACAAGGAATTTAATGTCAAGTTAACCAATTTCATAAAAAGAGAAAAATACAAAAAATTATATAAATGGAGAGTTGATAATCTGAAGGATAAAATATACACCGTTTCTGTATAATTATCAATCAATGGCCGATCCTTGAAATAAAAGAAAGAAAATTTGTAGTCCAAATATTTCGATAAAGTTTTTCTTTCTGGAAAGTTTGAGATCCATTAAAAATTAAAAAATATAGAACAATACTGGTCAAATATTGGATATCAACCTGCTAATATGACTATGACAATCGAAAAATAATGGAGCTATTATAATAGTTTTAAAAATAGATAATGATTAAGAATTTAAACAAGTCATAGACAGGCGGCACAAGGCTTGACCAAAACGCCACCACAACTATATATATTCTCCAACCTTATCATTGTCAATTAGGGAATTTATAAAGCCAAAATCTATCCTTTTTTCTATTTACTTTCTTTAACGAAAGTGAGGAGGAGAGAAAAGGGGTAGGTTAGTGTCATGTTTCCTTTGCAATAATTAACTTACGGGTTTAAAATGAAAAGTCTTTTTTATAAGAATGTTTTACCTCCTGTTAATTAATCATACTCAATAAAATTCAAATTAATCCAAAAAAAAAAAATCAGTATCGAATATCTAATATATACACAAAATATGCGTGTATGTACGGGTGATGTGTGTACGTAGGGTGGCTAACTTATCAGTAAAGCCTGCGGGAGTTCAACAATTGCATGGATCCCAAAAGCATGACAAACCTTATCTGTTCACCTCCTACGACCATTACCAAATTTATTTTTCTCTTTTTTAATCTTACTTTTTTATTTTATTTGTTAAAAAAGAAAATCAAAAGCAAATGCCCACGCGCCTGGGACCATCAATGGTTATTTTTCTTTTTTTGGTAAAGCCGTCAATAGGTTTTAATATGCCCCTACTGTTTATCCAAAAAANATAGCCTTGGCCCTCGAGTTCGATCACCCTCAAACCAAGTGAAGATTCAACTGATATAAGAACAGAGTAACAAGATATTGAAAGCTAGAAGAAGGCTGCATATTGCTTTGTATTGCGTAAAAAATTATCTGTCTTACAAATGATCAGACCTCCTTTATATAGTAGGGGAGTCCTACTTTTGATACAATTCTAAATACAGTAAGGAATCTCATGATAGGCTAATTAATCGGCCTCTTCTTGATACATGCCGAGGTTTCTGCCGTGATCCTCACCCGATTGCGGATATTTTGACTTTCCGTTATTTGGCTTGGTAAGCTTTCCTCGGTCTTGCTCGATCTCAATCTTGCTCGCTCTCGATCTTGGCCGATCTCGATATTGATCGGTCTCTGGTTCACGAGCTCGGCAACCTAACTTCGCACCATGGTTAGATATGACACGAGGTTGAACCTTGGCCTATCATGTTCTAGTCTCGATTAGTCATACGAAGGGTAAGCCCGGTTTTGACAGTATACAGATAGTCCTCTCGTTTCTCGAAAAAACGATGTCAAGAAACGATATGAATTTCCGAGCTCCGTCTCGATGGGTAATGTCGTAAGCGACGAACTTCACTAACACACTCGATCATGATGTAAACAACAACTAGAAATGTTCCGTCATTCCATTTATCAAGGTATTAAATACATGTCAGTCGCTGGTCGGCCACTAACGGTTCTGAACCGTCACCAGCAAGCCATAAATACCCTAGCTTTTTCTTCAAAGCTCTTCCCACTCTTCCTATTTCTTCAAAAACTCCCTTTGCTTTGCAACTTTTGCACCCAAATTTCTTGAATTCTCATCAATCCGCATACTATCTTAATTCTCTTTTCTCATGTTCTTCAATGGCGAAAACTTCTAAGACCGTATCGTAAAAGAAGGCTGCTTCTTCATCACGGCCCGCCGGCGATGAGGCTGCGGCTGAACCTCACCCTGAGGAATTCGTTCCAGTAGGGTTCCCGACTGTTACTGATTTTAGGGTCAGAAATAACTCCTCGGTACTGGGCCGATGTGAGCCGGTCTCGAGGTACATGTGCACAATCACCGAAAACCTCCTAAGTATGATTAAACAGGACTGCAACTGGGTCAATAAGCATGTGGTGGTTACTTCACCCGAGGAATCAATCGCTACCCATGTGGAGGGGTTTCTATGTGTTTACACTTACCCCTTCACGTTGGGTACCTTAGACCCGTCATCATTGCCTTTTGCAAGAGGTATGATGTGACCTTCGTCCAGATCCACCCCTCCTTCTGGAGAATAGTGATTCTCCTCCGATTTCTTATAAGCAAAATCGAGGGATGTCCCTTTACCCTCGACCACCTTATGTGCCTCTACAGTCCCCGACTCTATCGAGGGGGGCTGATCAAGCTTGCTCGCTGAGCCAGTAAGGCTCCGTTCTCGAGCATAGATGAAGCTTTTGGACCGAGGTTGGATTGGCCGATTTGTTCGAGTAAGGACTTCAGACCTGATCCCTGCTGAAGACAAGCTATTTCTCGAGAAATGGAACATGAAACGTAAGTAGTACTTCACTTTTAAGGTTTAATCTCATTTCTTTTCTTCTTATTTATTTTCCTCATTGATGTTTTTAGGCGTCGTAGCTGTGGCCCAGACGTCGAACCCAATTTTGGAACTTAAGGAATGGGTCGAATGCCTTGTGTTTTAGAGGCCGTACTTGGAGCGTGCTTGGATGGAGTTATCGAAGGGTCGATGGGAGGCCTGGAATCATGGTAAGTTTCTTTCTTAGAACGGTGATCGTTCGGGCTTCTTCACGAGCTTACTCATCTTTTTTTTCCTTTGTAGGACTCGGGAAGGATGTTGTAATGAGGCCCTCATATGGTGATGAAGAATTCCTTCCCCACCCACCTGCTTCGAAGCAGGCCAAAGAGAAGAAGAGGAAAGGGTCTCTGAGTTCCCCGGGCTCGAAAAGGAAGAGACCAGCGAGGAGGTCTAGCAAGCCCATGGGGGACACCAGTGCTATTTCTTCAGACTCAATCTGCCAATTAAGGGATGAGTCCGAAGAAGAAGAGGAAGATAATTCTAAACTGGTGGCCCAAGTGCGGGCCGGTGTCACTATACAAGAAGTTCTTGAACCGGCGAGCGCTGAAGTTGAAACATCCCGACATGAAGAGGTCGATGAGAGAGCTCTAGCTGAAGCTTCCGAGCCAGAAAGGGTCGAGCCCATTCAGCCCCAAGCTAGGGGGATCGAGAAAGAGACCAGGGACGATGGTTCTCAAGTTAAAAAAATGCCCCAATAGACGAACTTGGAGCGATCGACATGAGCGGGTCTCCTCAGATTTCGGATGCCATGATCCGTGAGGCCGATATATTGAGTCTTCAGGGGGTGACTGATATCCACGGCTTCTTGGTGGGGTTGAGTCAGCTGCTTTGAAAGATGTCACCGTGCTCGGTGACCTATCAGTGCCAAGGAAAGAACCGTCGTCAGGTGCCACCGGGTCTTCATCGGGCCCAAAACTGGTGGATCGATTCCCAGCCCCAAGTGTTAATCTTGACTGAAGACGGTTATTGGATTTTTCTATCCCGGAGGACACACGGGTTTTCTCTGCCCCCGTGGGGGTCACTAGTTACCTTTGGTGTTTGGTGACCGAAAGAGATCAGGCAGTGATGGACGAGGTGGAAACCCCCTGCCTATTCAATGAAGCCCAAAAAGCATTAAATCGGGTAAATTCGCATGTCTTTTCTGTCTCATATATTCTAACTTTAAAAGTTGTAAATAACCATAACATCTTCCCTTATGCTTGAAGGCTTCGGTGCTGCATCACGAGGTTTTCCTCCATTATCGGGAGGAATTAACCATGAAGCCGAGGTCCGGGACCTCACTTAGAAAAGTGACAGCTGCAAGCTTCTTAGTGACAAGCTTCAAGCCGATTTAGTAACAGCTCGGGAGGAGCATGCCGAGATGGCCGAGCAGGTATTCCGAGTGCTTCACGATAGTGAAGATGAATTGGAGATAGTAACTAACAATCTGATCCTGCAGGTCCAGCCGAGGCTGAAGAATTCAAGAAGATTATGGACATCGTAGCCTCAAAAAAGGAAACAGTCGAAGCACAACTGGAGTCGGTCGAGACCCAGCTCCAAGCTGCAAAAGAGAAGGCCTCGGTGCGGTCGAGAAAATCAAGGAGCTTCAATCTCAGTTGGACTTGGCTGTATATAATAAGGAAAACTTAGCTAATGAACTCGAAGTGGCCAGATCTGAGGTGGCCGTGGCCAACACTAAAGCCGATGCTAAAGTGGCTCAATTTAAGGTCGATGTCGAGGCCATCCAGGCGAAGGCCAAGAGCTTGGTGGATCATCCAAAATGGCAAGATCAAAGGGAAGTCCTCGAGGGAGTTCATGCTCAGGGCTTCGATATTATGGCCGAAATCGAGAATACCAAAGCAGAGGAAACTAGCGCCCGAAAGCTAGCCTTTTCTGAGGAAGACTCTGACAGCTTAAGCGAGTCCGAAGACGAGGAAAATCCCTAGGATGGAGATGATACCCCCGATGAAGACCAGGCCTCTTAGGCCTTTATATTTTTGCTTTCTTTTACATTTTTTTAAGGCCGTTTTGTCCGTTGTAAATTTTTGNTATATATATATATATATATATATATATATAAAGCTTTTCTTCCCCTTTTGTCTCTCAAATTTTTCCTTTGCTTTATTACTTGTATTCACAAAGGTCAAAATGCCTTAGCATGAAACAATGAGGTTGTGTTCCAGGGTTCGAACAAATCTTACTTTTATTACCTTTCTGGGTTAAGGCGTTGTTGGGGTTTGATGTTACCAAAGATTTTTCCCCGAAAATATCTTAAGTTTATGACTTTGCCGAGGGCAACCTTTAGAACCGGGAACTACCCATTGAGCTTATTTTCCCAAGTCATCCGGGCTTGCTCGAGATAACAGTCCCCGAGTGGGGAGGCCGTTCGCATTTTGGTTATGTATTGCCATTAGGCTTGTTATTTTCGGAAGTACGAAGCTCTTTAAAAGGGTGTAAAGAGGAAAAATTTTAAAACATAATATGATTGCAAGGAAAGTACTTCTCTTTATTCTCGATCGAAACAATCATAAATGCGTAAATATTTTATGCCAGGGCTCGAGCAATCAACATGGGCACGGTTCATTTTGCCCGTTTGACCCTTACAATAAATCCTATCTATCGAGACCCTCCCTTTATGAAGTAGTTTCCTCGATAGAGTTGATATTCAAACACAATGCATGTCCGAGGGTAGCCCCCCAGTATTCGAGGTTGATTACAAAAGAACCTCGGATATTGTTCAATTGATCTTCGGTGCCAATTCGTAATCGCCGAAAACACCCATTTGGGACAAACACGGTCTAAGGAAAAAAGAGTGCAACACGTGCTTTAAGACCTAAAAACTTCGTGTCGTTCGCCAAAAACTCCATTGTCATTTCCTGTTGACCACCTGCAAGTGTTAGTCTAAAATAAAAGGAAAATGGACAGGGGTCGTACCTTAGCAGTAATACCATTTTAGGTGAAATATGTTCCAATTGCTCGGTGGTTGTTCTTCATTCATCGTTACGAGCTTGTAGGACCCTTTTCCGGTGACCTCGAAAATTTGGTACGGTCCTTCCCAATTCGGACCCAATTTCCTTTCATTCGGATTTTGGGTGTTGAGGGTGACTTTTCTTAGCACTAAGTCCACAATATTAAAATATCAAAAATTGGTTCTTCAAATGTAGTATCTATCGATCCGTTGCTTTAGGGAGGCCAATCGGACGAGGGAGGCTTTATGCCTTTCATCCAATAGTTCTAGACTCTTATTCATGGCCTCGTAATTTGATTCATTTGTTGCATATCGGAACCTAATACTCGGCTCTCTGACTTCTACTGGTATTATAGCTTCGGCACCATAAACAAATGAGAATGGGGTAGCTCCCGTACTGGACTTCGAGGTTGTGCGGTATGCCCAAAGAACTTCGGTCGATTCGGCTTGCCCGTTCCCGCTAGGATGATAATGTGTTGATAGGATTCTTTGATCTTATGATCTTCGAGAAATTTGGTTACTTTGCTGCCGATGAACTGTTTTCCGTTATCACACACAATTTTGGATGGCATCCCGAATCGACATATGATGCGATCCCAAATGAAGTCGATGACTTCCTTCTCCCTAAATTTCTCGAAGGCCTGTGATTCAACCCACTTAAAAAAAATAGTCAGTCATAAATAAAATAAATTGAGCTTTACCTGGTGCCCATGCAAGAGGGCCAACAATGTCCGTTCCCCACTTCATGAATGGCCATGGTAACAAGACTGAATGGAGTAGCTTCCCGGGTTGGTGCATCATCGGTGCATGTCTTTGGTATTTGTCACATTTTCGAACAAACTCTTTCGCATATTTCTCCATGTCGATCCAGTAATAGTCGGCTCTGATTACCTTTTCAACCAATGATTCGGCACCGGAATGATTTCCACAAGTGCCCTCGTGAACTTCTCTCAGAACATACTCGGTGTCTCCCGGTCCCAGACATATCGCTAGTGGACCATCGAACAATCATCTAATCAAGGTTCCATCTTCGTACAAGGTGAATCATGTTGCCTTCGTGCGCAGGGCCCTCGATTCTTTTGGATTTGAGGGAAGCTTTTCACTTTTCAAATACTCTATGTATTTATTTCACCAATCCCAGGTCAAGCTTGTGGAGTTTATCTCGGCATGGCCTTCTTCGACTAGTGACCTCATGAGTTGCACGACGGCCCCCGAATTGAGCTCGTTATCCTCGACCGATGACCCTAAGTTTGCGAGGGCATCAGCCTCACTATTCTGATCTCGAGGCACATGTTGCAAAGTTCACTCCTTAAATCGGTGTAAAGTTACTTGTAACTTATCTAGGTATCTGTGCATTCATTCTTCCCCAACCTCGAAGGTTCCATTAACCTAATTCACCACGAGAAGGGAGTCGTATTTGGCTTCAATAACCTCCGCTCCCAAGCCTTTGGCTAGTTTAAGACCTGCAATCGAGGCCTCAAATTTGGCCTTATTGCTAGTCAATTTCACAGTTCTAATAGATTGTCTAACCACGTTGCCTGCGGGTGGTTATAGTACGATGCCAAGTCCGGACCCTTTTGCGTTCGAAGCACCGTCCGTAAAGAGGGTCCAAATTCCCGAGGACGTACCCGAGTTTACCAAAAACACTCTTTCAACTTTGGGTACTAGGGCCGGCGTGAAGTTAGCCACAAAGTCTGCCAAAATTTCAGACTTAATGGTTGTTTGGGGTCGACATTCGATATCATACCGCTAATTTCTATGGCCCATTTGGCCAACCGCCCCGAAAGCTCGGGTTTATGCATAATATTTAGAAGTGGATAATTTATTACAACACATATGGGGTGACATTAGAAGTACGATTTTAGTTTCCTAGATGCGCTTATCAAAGCAAGCACCAACTTTTCTAGGTGGGGATACCTAATTTCGGCCTCACCTAAGGTCCGGCTAACGTAATAAATTGGAAATTGCGTACTTTATTCTTCCAGGACTAGGACTCCACTTACCGCTATCTCCGATACTGCCAAATATAAGTACAATAGTTCGTCTACCCTCGGCGTGCGAAGCAATGGCGGGCTCGATAAGTAACGTTTAAACTCTTCCAAGGCCTGCTGGCATTCTGGGGTCCATGTGAAGTTATCTTTCTTTTTCAGCAACGAGAAAAATCGATGGCTCTTATTGGGGGACCTCGAGATCAATCACCCCAGGGCGGCTATGCACCCGGTTAACCTCTGCACAGCTTTTACTTTGTCTACTACCGTGAAGTCCTCAATAGTTGGATCTTATCGCGGTTGATCTCGATTCCTCGGTTGGATACCATGAATCCGAGAAATTTGCCTGACCCGACCCCGAACGCGCATTTTTCCGGGTTCAGCTTCATGTTGTATTTCCTCAATATACTAAAAGTTTCTTGCAAATGCTTCAAATGGTCCTCTAATCACAGGGACTTAACTAATATATTATCAATGTACACTTCCATCGATTTTCCTATTTGTTCTTCGAACATATGGCTTACTAGGCGTTGGTACACGGCACCAGCATTTTTAAATCCAAATGGCATTATGTTATAGTAGTAGGTTCCATATTTAGTGATGAATGAGGTCTTCTCCTGATCATCTGGGTTCATTTGTATTTGGTTTTACCTGTAATAGGCATCGAAAAAATTGAGGATCTCGTGGCCGGCCGTGGCATCAATCATGCGATCGATATTAGCAATATACATCCCTCGATCATTTGGGGCATGCTTTATTTAGATCTTTGTAATCTACACACATTTTAAGTTTGTTTCTTTTTTTAGGGACTACAACTACGTTTGCTAACCATTCGGTGTATTTTACTTCCCAGATGGACCCTATTTTAAGGATCTTGGTTACCTCGTCTTTGATGAAGGCATGCTTGATCTTGGACTGGGGTCTTTTTTTCTGCTTCACCGGATGGAACTTCAGGTCCAAGCTTAGTTTATGGGTGGTGATTTCTGGTAAAATCCCTATTATGTTGAGATAGGACCAAGTGAAACAATTTATGTTAGCTATAAGAAATTGAATAAGTTTTTTCCTGAGCTCGATAGTTAACCCCGTGCCCAGGTATACCTTTCGTTCGGGCAGATGTTCGATTAGTATGACTTGCTCCAGCTCTTCGACCGTTGATTTGGTGGCGTCGGAGTCATCAGGGATTATGAAGGATCGAGGGACCTCATAATCATCATCTTTGTCAGTCCCCTGCTTCTCTAGTTGGGTTGAGGCCGGCGTTTGTGGTTGCTATTTTGCCTCTTGTTTTCCCTTCGAATTTGACCCTTTCGTCGATGAGAGTGCCAATACCGGAATCACTTTGTCAACGGCAAACATTTCCTTTGCGGCAGGTTGCTCCCCGTAGACTATTTTGATTCCCTCTAGTGTCGGGAATTTTAGAACCTGTTGAAGGGTCGAGAGCACTGCCCTCATGTTGTGGATCCATGGTCTCCCGAACAAGGCATTGTACCTCATGTCGTCCTCGATCATGTGAAACTTCGTCTCGTAGATGGTCCCGGCCACGTTCACTGGCAAAGTTATCTCGCCCTTAGTAGTTTCACATGCCATGTTGAATCCTTTTAGCACTTGGGCCGCGGGTACAACTTGATCCTGTAGACCGATTTGTTCTGCGACCCTTGACCAAATGATGTTATCCGAACTACCTGGGTCAATTAACACACGTTTAACTTGAGTCTTATTCATGAGTACAGACATTACCAGTACATAATTATGGGACTGCATGATCCCTTTTGTGTCCTCTTCGTTGAAGAACAAGGTTCCTTCTGATATGTAATCCCGAGTTCGCTTCTCCCTTGTGATCGACACCTTGGTGCATTTTAACACTGGCCCTTGGGGAACATCGACCCCTCCGATAATTATGTGAATAACGTGTTGTGGTTCTTCTTGCTCGTTTTATCTATTGGACTTTCTGTTTCTGAAATGATTCTTGGCTCGATCACTTAGAAACTCCCGT